CAAACAGCTGATCAGAGGAACAAGAAGTAATCTGATTACTTTATTCTATTACTGTTTTATAATTATTGTTCATCACCTTAAAGACGGAGCCCATGTTAATGACTTCATATTCTGGTGATAGTTTAATCTGTAAATATAATAAAAGATCTTCATTGATTAATAATCTCAATCTGTAACTAAAATTATTCAATAAAAAGTATAAAGTAAAAAGCAGCAAGAACAGAAATACTGAAGAGAAGAAGTCAGCCTCCACCCACGCTCACATCTGGAAACCATCACACACACAGCTGTGTGATGACATCATGCGCAGCTGTGTGTGTTCAGATCAGAAGCTCCCTGATGATGTCATCAGGAGGAAACACGTTAATGATCTGAAGTACAAATACATAAATACTGTACTGGAGTACAAATTCAAGGTACTCTAGTATTCTATTCATGCAGCTTTCTACTTCTCTTCCACCACAACAACTACTGCTACTACTACAACTACAACTACTGCTACTACAACTACAGCTACTACTGCTACTGCTACTACTGCTACTGCTACTACTGCTACTACTACTGCTACTACTACTGCTACTACTACTACTACTGCTACTACTACTGCTACTACTGCTACTGCTACTGCTACTACTGCTACTGCTACTACTACTACTACTGCTACTGCTACTACTGCTGCTGCTACTACTACTGCTACTACAACTACAGCTACTACTACTGCTGCTACTACTACTGCTACTACTACTACTGCTACTACTACTACTGCTTCTGCTACTACTGCTACTTCTACTGCTGCTACTTCTACTACTGCTACTTCTACTACTGCTACTTCTACTACTACTACTACCACAACTACAACAGGTTTTTATAAACTGTCTTCAGAATAAGAGACGAGTTATCGTCACGGAGTTCGTTGTCAGGAGATCAGACAGAAACCGGTTCAGCTGAAACATGAGGAGGAAGAGGAGGAGGAGGAGGAGAGGGTGATCCTGATGGAAACAGAGGCAATGACGCCTCTTCCTCCTCCTCCTCTTCCTCCTCTCACTGATGTCACAAACACAACAGGAGCTTTCTCTCCTCATATTAAAGATTCATAATTAAACTTCAGCATTATTCGTATTCAGATGTGTTTTCATGAGCAACAAATCAAGCGCTCCCAGTTTTTACAGTATACAAAACCTACACGAGCTGTGATGATGATGATGATGATGACAGGTTGGTGTGCAGCAGGAGGACGTTATGTAACACACACACACACACACACACACACACACACCACGGTTCAGCTTTGCGTGTCTCTTTCCAGACCAGCAGAATATTTTTCATCAGAAGTGAAAGTTTTGGACTAAACTATATTGAGTGAAGACGAGCGACCTTCATCACACTATCTCTCTCTGTGTCTCTTTCTTTAGGCCTGCTCCTCCAAAATGGCCGACGCTGAGGTCTCCTTGTCCCCGGCTCTGCGGCCACTCCACCTTAGCCCCTCCCACTCAGCCCCAACCCCCCCTCCTCCTCCCGCCTCTTCCTCCTCCCCCACCACCTTCTCCTGCCCGTCCTCCCCCTCCAGCGCCTCCTCTTCCTCCTCCTCTTCCTCCTCTTCATCTTGTTCTGAGAGCTCTTCTGACTGCCCCGTCCACCATCACCACCACCATCACCACCATCACCCACGCCCCCAGCTGCATCTGCCCCCGCCCCCCCACAGCGAGCAGCCGTCCTCCCCCAGCGCCAGCCCCCGCAGCTCCAGCCCCAGCGGCAGCATCGGCAGCACCGGCAGCCTCGGCAGCAGCGCCAGCGAAGGCATCGGCAGCAGCGGCGTGTCGAGCGGTGGCGGCGACGCTCGAGGCCCGAGTCCCCCGCTGGACGTCATCTCAGAGGACGCCATGGAGATGGACCTGGGGATCGACCAAGGTACCGACACAAATGGTTCTAGATGTTTAGATGTCTAGATGTCTGGGTCTGTCTACGGCGGACCGGTCTCTGCTGGAGTCTGAGCTGAAGGAGGTTCTGGATAACCTGCATGAGTTCATCTGGTTTCACCAGAATCTGACCCGGTGGCTCCGATAACGAGCATTAAGAATAACTCTATAGAAACAGACCATCTTCCCTCTGATGGTCTCCTTACTGATGGAGGTCTGATAGAGGATCAGGACTAAACTGAGACTGGTTCATATAGAGGATCAGGACTAAACAGAGTAGTTCAGGACCAGATAAAAGTTCACAGTAATTATTGTGTTGCCATCACAAGAATGAACTCCAATTCAACGATCCCTGCTGAAGGAATACTGCCCAGTTTTACCAAACAGTTCAAACAATCTCCTAAACCAGTTCTAAATCAAGCCTCAAGAGATTCCTAAACTTCTTTTTAAGTTTCACTGGAACAAACTAACTTGAAGTAGTTACAATTGAAGGAGTTTGGTACCAGTTGTAGTACTCTGCTTAGAGGTGAGCCCAACTATATCTAGTTGGTACCGGTTCGTCTCCCGAACCGGATCCTGGTTTTTCTTAAAAAAATAGGTTCCTAGAACTTGGTTTGCGATCAGGTACCAGGTACTAAACCTCTGTTACCACCCTCCTGAATGTTGGATTGCTGCCATCGTGGCCAACACTGATCCATGATACCGGGCTCCATGGATCCGGCCCCGCCTCCAGGTTCTTAAGCTTCTTGAGGTGTAATATGAGATGCTATCGGGACTTTTTCTTCTGCACATTTTATGCTCACGAGTAACCTGAACCTCTCCTTGTTTTCTGCTTCCAGTGATCGATCCAGAAGTAGCTCTGAAGGCTTGCCAGGAAGTTCTTCTTAAGGTCAAGCTGCAGAACAGAGAAGTGCCTGAACAGCAACAAGTTGACAACAAGCGACAACAGGAGGATCAACAACAACAACAACACTTCACAGACTCAACGGAGGGCTCCGGTCCACAGTGGCACGTCAGCCCGGACACCAGCTCCATCAAAGAAGAAGACGAAGAAGAAGATGAGGAGGAGGGAGAAAAACGAGAATCACCTCCTTCAGCCCGACCGGAGTCTTCTTCGCTGCTGTTGGCGTCGCCGTCGTCGTCTAAGCAGTCGTGGCTGCTGCGCCTGTTTGAGTCCAAGCTGTTTGACGTCTCCATGGCGATCTCCTACCTGTACAAGTCAAAGGAGCCGGGGGTGCAGGCCTACATCGGGAACCGGCTCTTCAGCTTCCCCGACAGCGAGGTGGACTTCTATCTGCCGCAGCTGCTCAACATGTACGTGCACATGGACACCGAGGTGGGCGACGCCATCAGACCGTACCTGGTGAGTCAAGGTTAAGCTAACCATTGTATCTGCTCAGGCGTCTGGCTGTCTGGCTCGGTTTAGTTCTTCATGTAAGTTACAGAAGCTTGTTACCAATGTCTCCATGAAATGCTCCCATCCTGGAGCCAGACCTTGGAGGGGAGCTGCTGGTGGTCTGGCCCCTTAAAAAGAAACGTTAAGCCACAATCATTTGGAGGTTTCGTTTTTTTGGCAATCAGGTGGCAGGTAAAGCCGGTTCATCTGGCGTGCTGACCCATGTAGGCTCTTGAGACTAAAGGGCCAATTACAACGAGACGCGTTGCAACAGGAAGTCGGTGATAAAGTAATAAAGCCCGCCTCTTTGTTGGATTTGATTGGCTGCCACGGGTCATGTGTGACACTGACGAGCGGTGTGACTCCGCGCAAGTTGAAAATATTTAAACTTTTTATGCGCGTCTAGGAACCACCTTCAAAACGCGGTACAAGTAGTACCAGAGGACAGCAATGTTTTTTGGCGGGTGTCACTTTTCTAGTGATCGGACCCTTAGAATGCCTCTGGTGGTTTATCAGCACCACCTTCAATACCAGCTCAGCAGACGGGGATCGGTCGGCCAGAAAGAATACAACTTTTCAAGTGTGGAAGGAGTTCAAGAAGACCACGGAGAAGGACTTTCAGTTGGCCTCTCGAAGTTCTGACAAACCATCAGATGACTCCGAAGGAAGAGGTAGGATCTTGTTCCGGCTGATCTGCTGATCCTGAGAGCGGATAGTGTCGTAAGGTGGAAAGACCACATTTAGGGACTTGGGGGAAGCCTTGACAAAGTCACCAGTGGAGGTCACTGAGGTTAGGGTTGGGCGGTATACCGGTTTCAATTTCCCGTATGATATGACTTTTTCATATACCGTTATACCGGTGCACAGCCGAAACAACTTCTGTTGCTCTTCAACAGACAGCAAAATATATTGTTCGCCGCTAGGAGTGCTATGGACGGAGCTAGTTGTCTTACCTGTATTGAGTGGGAACCCTAGTCATGGTTTACTTTATAACTTTATAACAACAATTATTATAACAACAATTAACAACCCACAACTAACGCTCTTTAACAGGGCAAAACACCACGACTCAACAGTTTGTGACAGATAAACAATTTGTAGCACTAATAATTGTACATTTATAAAATTTCTCCGCCGAACTGCATGCTGGGTAAAGCTCGCTAACAGCCTGCTCGCTAACAGCCTGTGAGAGGCTCTGTCGCGACAGTAACGTTACATTAAAGAACAGAAAAGAGCGATGCAGGATGAACAAAGACTGAACAATAAAAGGTATTTAGGTCAGACACATATGCAACGCTGACTACCATAATATGTGTGGTATTTGTTATAAACGTACATAGACGGTGATAAGAAGCTGTACATGTAGCAGCTTCTTCTTCTTTAAATTCCATTGGCGGATGGCAACCAACTTGCATAGGTGCATACCGCCACCTACTGTACCGGAGTGTGCATATTCAATGTAACGTTTTCTTCACTGTTCTGATATATATATATATATATATATATAAAAAAGAAATAAACCTTAACAACTAAATCCTACGGTCTAATCCCGTTTCTTTCCATGGAGGGGCTTAGGACCCAGGGGAATGTAGGTGAAGAAAACAGGAAGTGACGGAACGGAAAACACGCCACACAAACAGCTGTTCACCGCTGGTTGACCGGCCGTTCTTGTGTTAGTTTACGGCGTTAATTAATTAATGCATTAAGCCAGTGGCGGGCGTCCTATAATGACGTCAGCATTACATGCTGCTCACTGTCCATGTACAGGCTCTGCCGCGAGGTGCAGAGTGTGCTGTGACTGGTCAGTGGGTGAGCACGTGACTATCGTGAAACGAAACTTAATAGCAGAGGCTGTCGGGTAGTGAATCACATCACGTGATGCAGCTCAGCCAACCAAATATGGACATTCTGACCAGAGTAAGACGTACCAGACACCATGACACAGGAGACTGAGACGAGGAAAGACATTGCAGAGCAGTACGTTCAATGTTCAAGTTCTGAAAGTAAAATCCTATGATAATCTCTTTGGGTCGCAGCTTGTCATTAAGGAATGACGGTGGATCCCACAGCCAGACTAGCTGAGAACATTATATTTTCCTGAATTTAGAGGCTTTTGCATTTTCTAAATGCTCTAGCATTGTTCAAACGACTCATGCATAGTTACAGCCTTAAAAACGAATAGAAGCTGTGGCGCCATCATGTGGTTATAAGGTGGTATTTCAGCTGCAGGACAGCAGTGAAGGCCCAGGTATAAAATGCACGGCCCTCCACTGCATTAAGGCGGAAAAAAATACCGTGATATACCGTGAAACCGGTAGAGTCTTAAAAAATACCATGATATGGATTTTTGGTCATACCGCCCAGCCCTAACTGAGGTAGTTAAAAGTAGTTCTAATAGTGGTTTCTATTCTTTTTAAAACAGGGTCTAAAGATACACCTCAATCGTCAAAGTATCATACGACCCTGCACCCTAAACCTAAGTCATGTTACTGGAGAGGAGGCTCTGGTAGATAGTCCCCAGATTAGTGGGACCACAAATAATATCTGAATGTTGCCCCCCCCAGTGGAGTTATTTGAACGGTGACCTCCAGCGCTGACGATTGAAGTGGCACAAACTGCAGTTCCTCAAATGGTCACTTGAGGCTCCTAAAGCGAGTCAATCCCCCATAGACCTCAATGTTAAAATGGCCAACTTTACTGCAAAAATAAACCCGTTTGCTGCCTCGGCTCCACCGACCATCCACCTCTATGACCATTTTCAGTTTGTGTCGTCGCAGATGGCGATAGCATCTCTTCAAAGACCCTCTGAGTGACGTCACGGAGACCACGTCCATGTTTTAAACAGTCTATGGTTCTACTGGCACAACATACTAGAGTGGTTTTATATCCCTTGTGGTCTGGTTTCTTTGGGATCTACCAGGACAAGGCTGAGGCCCCTGGTCTAGAGATCTTGAGGATGTGATATTCTGTATATGGACACTTGATCTGAAGTCTTTTGTTTTTGTCTCTCAGATCCACCGCTGCAGAGGAGGTATAACCTTCTCCCTGCTGACGGCGTGGCTGTTGGGAGCTTACTCCTCCGACATGCACATCTCCACCCAGCGTCACTCCAGAGGCACCAAACTCCGAAAACTCATCCTGTCCGACGAACTCAAACCTTCCGCTCCTCCGCCGGACGCTCGCGGAGCCGTTTTGGCCTCGGTCTTCGACGGCCCGTCGTCGTCCTCGCCGTCGCACCGCCGCTGCCACCGGAGACACAACAGCAGCAACATGGACTCCGCCTCCTCCTTCTCTGCAGGTGGCGGCCCCTCCCCCGACAGCCCCGCACTGGGGGAGGGGGAGGTGTTTGTTTCCCCGTCCAGGAGGACCCACCAGAGATCCAAGTCAGACGCCACCACGGCGAGCAGCGGGACCGGGTCAGGCCTCCGGCGGACAGGAAGTAACCCCAAAGTGGAGGCTGTCCATGAGGAGGTACTTTTATTTTGTTATTGATCATTGTGATGACACCAAGAAGGTATCAGTTGTTTATTATAACGACACTGATTCTGTCTTTAAGGCTGAGACCACTTTCAGTATTCGAGAATATCATAAACGATCATAAACGATGACACAAAATGTAAACCTGAAGAAACATTTTGTGATTTAACAAATAAAAAATTGTACAGCTTAACAACAGAAACTTGTAAATAATGGTAAATTCTGAACAATAATCAATAATGAAATTATATTTATTTAAAATAAATCACATAAAACAAAGCATTTTTAAAACATGAATTGAGAAATATTTAAGTCGGATAAATATTTATTGCTGCAGTTTACGATTAATTTCTGTTAAATACATACACATATTCTAAGTGTCTAAACACCACGTATTGTATGTCTGTGTGTGTTCCGTGTTACATCACACGAGGTCTGCTGCAGGTGAGATGTGTGTTTCAAGAGACTTGTCGGACACGTAGTTGAACGGGTCTGACAACCTTTCTCTTTCTGACCAGGGCCCCGTTCCTCGTACGTGGCTAACTGAGTTAGCCGGATACTTGTCAGGATAAGATGACGTAGATCAGGCTTTTCGGTTCCACGAAGCAAGTTTGGCAAAATCACCATGGCAACACATCCATAAGCTTGAACCTGCTCCGGGGCAGGCTAAGTGAGGGTAGCTGGATAAGCTGCCACTCCCCCGGAAGAAATGACAGCTCCTGTCATATACGGTAGTCTAATGCGCTTGCGCATATACCGGGGGTTATACGGGAGTTCCAGAAATGCATGTAAAGTGAGACACACGGTGATCCATTAAAGCAGCTGAGCAAACTAAGAAGCCTCTATTGCATTAATGTACAGCTCCCTTCCTCAGAGATCCACTGATGGAGGAGGATATTAGTTAGATTAGCGTTTTATAGGGAGAGAGTTCTTCCACATCGCCAAGATCCGTTATCACATCACGATGACTTCCTATACGAGCGCTATCCATTCTGCCCACAAGGAATCATTTATTTACAGACCTTCTGGAGCATACATTGAACACCACACGCCACAGCCAAGCATTGACTGTCTCACACACTGGATGCAGCCTTGAGCTGTTCTGCGAGTGGTACATTGTTGTACAGTGTCGGCGATGCGGAGAACATGGGGAAAGCCGCTGCATGCCGTGCTGTTGGTAAAGTTTATTAGGCGCTTAATAAACTTATGGATGTGTTCATTACATCACCATGGCACATATTGTACTGACTCAGCATTCTGAGTAATGTGTGTGTGTTGGTGTTTACTTGCTCCCATGTCCTCTTGATGGCTGCGTTGCATACATGAGGGTTAAAGCACTCATAATGATATGACAGTGTTATTAGTACACCAGCATATCATTACTGTAGAACATGATGAAGGTGGACTCATGATAAGAACAGAGAGAATCACACACTATTGATCTTCACTGCTTCAGTTGATTGAATGTGTGATGATGAATAATACACACACACACACACACACACACTGATCCGCCCACACACAGATTCACACACAGATTCACACACACACATTCAAACTAGTTCTATATGGTGATCTACACATACATGTATATACACATATATAGTACATGATAATGAGGGCATACAGTACATATATCCTCATATTAATGAGGATCAGTAGATGCTCTTTGGGCTTGTTTTTATCTTATTGTGAAAGAGTTGAGGTCATTATTGTCGCTATAGATCTCATTGGATGATGCATTCATTAAGCCTACTGCCAGCAGCTCATTTAAAGACATATCATCTGATTGATTGGGGTGATGAGGCGTTAAAATGAGCCGATACATTTACAACACTTACGCATTTAACGTGTCTGTGATATTTTGCGTGCTTCTTGTCTAGCCCTCGCAGCGGTGGAGGTGTTATATTTAGCCGTGATTATGGTCTTGAATTCCTCATATGCGTTCATGATCATCTCCTGCTCGTCAGCGGAGTAAAAAGAGGCTCTTTCTTTGACTTTATTTAACATTGTACTGTTAGAAAATCATGGTTTCGGTGATCGACGCTTCCCCCTTTTGAAGTAGGACGGGCACGCGCAATTATCCTGATCCTGATCGTCTGGGTCCAATTAACGAGACTGTTTGAGAGGATCAGCCTTGGAGGAACCCAGATGTCAATCATGTCAATCATCTCCTTAATTTAGGCTGCTAATAGGACATTTGATCCACTCAGTTGAACCACGTACGAGGAACGGGGCCCTGATCTCATCATTCTTTGTTTTCCTCTTTGTTTTCTCTCTGTCACGTTTTTATGACGTCACTTCTGTCAGAAACCTTTTCTGACGTTTGTTCTTTACACGTGAGGAGAAACTTGAGCTGTCGGTGTTCATCACCTGTTTGAACACAGAAAACAAGATGGCGACGGCCAAAAGCCTGTTGCAGCTCTGAGCTTCATCTCCTGGACTTAATTATTTATTGTTTATTTTCTCTGCTCGTGTCGTCACTACTTCCTGTCTCTCAGCCGGACCGTCTGCGTCCTCAGCGGGAGCTCGTGAAGTCTCTGCTCTGCATCGGGAAACGTTTGGCGACGCTGCCGACCAAAGAGCAGAAGACCCAGCGGCTGATCTCAGAGCTGTCGCTGCTCAACCACAAGCTGCCGGCACGAGTCTGGCTGCCCACTGCCGAGCGGCAGCACCACGTCTGCCGGGTCCCCCACACTCAGGCCGTGGTGCTCAACTCCAAAGACAAGGTGAGGCGTTCAATGACAGCCAGTTATTCTCAGTGTTTCACACCAGTTTCATCTCTCTGGGTCCAGTACATAGACAGGTCCAGGACGTAGTTAGCCTAGCTTAGCATAAAAACTTGAAGCAGGTTGAAACTGTTAGCCTAGCTTAGCACAAAGACTAGAAGCAGGCAGAAACTGTTAGCCTAGCTTAGCACAAAGACTAGAAGCAGGCAGAAACTGTTAGCCTAGCTTAGCACAACGACTAGAAGCAGGCAGAAACTGTTAGCCTAGCTTAGCACAACGACTAGAAGCGGGCAGAAACTGTTAGCCTAGCTTAGCACAAAGACTAGAAGCAGGCAG